GTCATCTCATGTCTGCCGCTCTCTGCTACATCTCACTTTCCCCCCGAGAATGCAACAGGTACCAAAACTGGTTCACACATTTTTTAAAAGAGAAATAAGATACCGTATCTAAGTGCATGTGTTTACTCCTCCATAGTATACAGACAGCTGACATGCCTGTATAAAATTCACAATAGGATGTTTTGATTTCGTGATATATTGCAAATCAGCTTCAGAAGTGAACTGAAAGGACAGAATTCTGTTGTTTCTTCTAGTGTATTTGGGATCTGGTTTTATTCAGGAAGCTTTACGCAGAGCCAGAGAGCTGACCGACGCAGCATACGCACACACTACTGACAGGTGAGACTTTATTATCCCCCTTTTACAAGATGTAAAATAAGTTTCTGATGTCTCTAGAGTGTGTGTGTGTGTGTGTGTGTGTGTGTGTGTGTGTGTGTGTGTGTGTGTGTGTGTGTGTGTGTGTGTGTGTGTGAAGATTAAGCTCAAAATATCACATAAATAATGTTGTATAACTCTCTGAAACTGACCTTTTTAGGCTTTGATCCTAAATGGGGTTTTTTGGTGACTGTCCCTTTAAATTCAAATGAGATTGTGCTCTTTTCAGAAGAGGGCGGAGCTATAAGTGCCTGTGTGTTGGCCAGGTGGCAGATTTAAATACAAGACCAGAGTCCTATGCTAATGAGGGAGAGATGTTCACTTGTGGGCGGAGCTTTCTCCCTTTGATGACACATACAAAGGCAGAATGTCAATCAAAGTTTCTGCAGACTGTTTAAATCAAGTCTGACTATAAAAAATACAATTAATACACCATTTACCATTAGAAGCTGCTTATATTCACAGACTGCTGCTTCACAACTGTGTTTAAACCCCTTATAAATGTCATTTTTGCATAACAGGTCCCCTTTAAAAAGACCATACATTAAAGCATTGCTGATCTGAGGTCAGTTTAGTGTCAACTAGTGTCTTGTTTCTTGTTCATCAGGATGAAAATGTCATTGTCAGAGGGTTCTGTTCGACCCAATGACCTGCTGGCTTTGTTTAAACAAACCGGCCCCAAAACCAAAGCCCACATCAGAGCTGCAGAGTTTCTGGACAACACGGTGGAGCTGATTAGGGAGATGGTTTACACACACTCCATGGACAAACCCGACCTCAGCGGTACAGTACAGAAGTCTTGTATGATAAACACTATTTTATTTTTAATTTTATTTTATATAAAATATTTGAATTGTTTTATTTCCTTTATAATAATTATTTCTGTTTTATTTATAATTGTACAGTCTATTTAATTTTAGTTAATTTAAAACACATACCGCGGATGTTATTATTGCTTGTATTTCATGTAAAATGTTTTATTATTTTTTTTTATTTAACATAATTAAATTGTTTTATTTTCTTTCAATTATAATTATACAGTTAATTTAATTTTATTTAGTTTAAAACACACCACGGATGTTAATATTGCTAATTTTAGTGTAAAATAATTTATTTTTTCTTCTTTATTTCAATTTCTTATTTAATTTAATTCAATAAACACACAATGCATGTTAATATGGCTTATTGCTTAATTTAAAATTTAAGATATTTAAAAATATATTTAATTTTAATTATAATTTTACATTTTATTTTTTGTTATTTAAAACACATCGCAGATGTTAATAGTGCTTATATTTAATGGTAAATATTTTAAATTTAATTTAATTTAATTTAATTTAATTTAATTTAATTTAATTTAATTTAATTTAATTTAATTTAATTTAATTTAATTTAATTTAATTTAATTTTGGCTTAGTCTCTTTGTTCATCAGGGTTCACCACAGCGGAATGAACTACCAACTTATTCAGAATATGTTTTGAACATGCAAACTCCACACAGAAATGCCAACTGATCCAGCCGGGACTCAAACCAGCGACCTTCTTGCTGCGAGGCGACAGTGCTAACCACTGAGCCACCGTGTCGCATTTTTTAATTTAATTATTTTATTTATAGCTATTTGTGCAATTACCAAAACATCGTAAATAAACGCATGATCCTAAAACCATATTAATATGCTCTGTGTGTGTTTCAGAGCTCTTGAGCGCAGAAGACATGGAGACCATCCTGCAGGCCACCGGCTGCTCAGCAGAGATGAAGAGACCGGTGTGTAAATCTGACTGTCTGTCCAAGCGCTACCGCACCATCACAGGACACTGCAACAACAGGTAACACACATATAACACTGGTTTAATTACGACATCTGATACTGACAGTATAGGGCTGAAATGGTGCACAGTGGGGGTTTATGGAGTTCTTCTTATAATTTTCCTGATAATAAAGTATATATTGATTCAAAGCCTTTGTCACTGCTTATTATAACGGTGTGAAATATGCTGCATGCTATATTCTGAGTAAAAAAACACATCATTTCACAGAAGAATTTATTGTAAACACTCGACTGAAGCTATAGAGTGAGTTGAGTAAAAATATCATTATATGTGGTATTTGCACATGCTTTCAGGTTTACCATTAGCAGCAATTACTACAAAAGGTCGTAGTTTACAGTGAAGCTACGCAAACAACAGTCAACATTGCAGAATGATTATTTCTGATTTGACCGTCACATGATGAAATCTCTTACGATGTTTAGCGTAGTTTGGTAGAGAACTTTGGCTCTGTGTAGTAAATGTTGCTCCAGCTGAACATGTTTATTTTTCAGCCCTAACATCGGCATATAGGAGCTTTTCATTTTCCATCAGTCTTAGTACACAATAGCCGCATTTCCACTGTTGGGCCAGTGCGAGCCAGGGCTTTTATCGGGCCAGGCCAATTGCCCAGGAGGTTGAGCAGTAAGGCCGAAATCATGTCGCGTTTCCCTGTCTGGCTTGGAGCTCACAGCACATCACGCAAACCCCACCCCCAGAACGTCCCCCGAATCAAACGCCACACAACCCGCCCACTTCATCGGGAATCAGGCAGATAAAGCACACCATCGCATCATCACGAAACCATTAAAATGAAGACAACCAAAACAAACAGACGACACGTTAAGGCTGATTTATACTTCTGCGTCAAATGTCGGCATATGCTATGGCGCTGACGCATAGCCCTTCGCCGTGGCCATCGCCGTCACTGACGTGCACCTCTCAAAAAATGTAACTACACGTTGCAACGACGCGTAGCGTAAGCTCTGTGATTGGTTGGCTTGGTAACGCTGACGAGTCTGGGCGGGACCGAGAGCCGCGCGAATGGTGCGAGCCTGATGGAGCGATTGTTTACAAGTGTGGAGTCCCGTGAAGGAGCTCCGGATGGAAAGTTTTGTTTTGTGTTTACCTCATAGTTAAAGTTGTTGCACGTCCGCCGGTTCCTGCCTCAAAATGTACGAGTTTGAGCCACTTGTACATCCCGGAAGTGTTCAGGAAAAGCAAAAAAGCAGAGAAGAAACTCGACACCGAGGAACATTAACACCTGACTGCCCACTAGCGTTTCGGAAGTTTAATGCAGACCGACAGAGACAGCGCGCAGAAGTATAAATGCACAGCCACGCGCGTTGCCTGCGCCGTGGGTTACGCCGGTCACCTGACGCAGAAGTATAAATCAGGCTTTACTGTACAGCCGTACATTATATGTCTATAATTGTAACCACACAACAGTCAAGCTTTAAATAGGAACATTATCTAAACTCGTTGGCCATTTTTGAGTGAGATGCTAATGGTCTAATCCGATTCAATGATCTATGCTAAGCTAAGCTAAAAGTGCTCCCACCAGACTCAGACTTTGCAGATTTTGTTTCACCAGCAAAAGACAAAACAACACACTGGAAAGCTGTGGAATACAATGTACAAAAATGTGCATCGAACATTTGTTGTTGTTATTATTTTTAATAATGCATTGTTATTATTTGAATTTATGTAATCTTATTATAATTATGTAATCACTTTTGGACCCTAGAAACTGTCCCATAGACTCCCATTCAAAAGATTGTCATTGACTTAACATTGGATCAAACTTTGTGAGCTCATAACTCTGCATCAGACTGTCCTACAGACTAATAGCTGAGCTCATTCAACTCAGACAAGCCAGCAGCCAACCGCTCCATCTATTTATACATCCATCCATCCATTCATCCATCCATTCATCCATCCGTCCATCCATCAATATCTTTTTCAAACTCCTTTAATCTATCTATCTATCTATCTATCTATCTATCTATCTATCTATCTATCTATCTATCTATCTATCTATCTATCTATCTATCTATCTATCTATCTATCTATCTGTCTGTCTGTCTGTCTGTCTGTCTGTCTGTCTGTCTGTCTGTCTGTCTGTCTGTCTGTCTGTCTGTCTGTCTGTCTGTCTGTCTGTCTATCTATCCATCCATCCATCCATCCATCCATCCATCCATCCATCGGTGCACGGTGCATCCATCCATCCGTCCATCCATCAATATCTTTTTCAAACTCCTTTAATCTATCTATCTATCTATCTATCTATCTATCTATCTATCTATCTATCTATCTATCTATCTATCTATCTATCTATCTATCTATCCATCTATCCATCTATCCATCTATCCATCCATCCATCCATCCATCCATCCATCCATCCATCCATCCATATCTTTTTCAAACTCCTTTAATCTATCTATCTATCTATCTATCTATCTATCTATCTATCTATCTATCTATCTATCTATCTATCTATCTATCTATCTATCTATCTATCTATCTATCTATCTATCTATCTATCTATCTATCTATCTATCTATCTATCTATCTATCTATCTATCTATCTATCTATCTATCTATCTATAAACAACCGTCCGCCCGTACCTACTTTTTCAAACTGTTTTAAACTAAATAAACTGTTATCAACAGGCTTCGTCAAGCCAGCCTCAAAGTTTGTTTTGACGAACTTTAATAATCTAGTTGTGTATTTATTCTCACCTTCTTAACCAATTATTTGATTCCTGAAGTGTCAATATTTCAAACTTTTTCTTTTTCTCTCTAATTTGTTCTTAAGTTCAAACAAAACCCAAAAAACATATTTTGGAAAAAAATATTTGTTTGCTCAGCAATATTTGTAAAATGTTTTTTTTTTTACTTTGACAGGGAGAACCCTCAGTGGGGTGCAGCTAACACCCCGTACGCCCGCTGGCTCTCCCCGCAGTATGAGGACCCCCGAGGGGCCCCGAGAGGCTGGAGCCCACAGCACACCTACCACAACCACACACTGCCCCCCGTAAGACTGACAGCTGTCCCTAATTAACTACTCGCTGTTATAAATGTAAAAATATAACTATTGTTGATTCTCTTCTGCAGTTTCAAATTCAGTGTGACAGAAACATTTGGGTTAATATTTTTTAATGCATGTGCAGTTGTTAAACACACTTTGTATTTTTTAATGTCTATAATGCAATATTACATGCATAATACAATACATGTAGTGTAAATGTGCATATTGTAAAAAAAGGAACATTACAAACTGACTAGATATTATGTATTCTTCATATTATGAGATAATTAAAATAACTTTGTTATTTTAAACTTGTGATTTATAATAGCAAGAAATCCTAGAGCAATAATAAGACTTCATTTAAATTAAAACACACCTCAGATGGTAATATTGCTTATATTGCATGCAAAAATATTTTATTTTATTTAATGTTTTATTATTATTTATTTAGACCAATATTACTTTAAATAATAACATAATATAATATTGTATCAAGTATTGTTTAATAAATCAATTTTTTTCTATTAAATTTTACATTAATTTTAATTGCTTTTATAATATATAAATAATATTACTTTATTTATATAAAATATTTATTTTTATTTTTGCAATCATAAAATTCAAAGAAAATGTATAATTTAATGAAAAACATTTGCAACATTAATTGTTTTGTGTGCAATTTCTGTTATATTAGTACCATTTATATATACATACATACATACATACAGTGCTCAGCATATATAAGTACACCCCTCACAAATCTTTTAAATTCATAGTTTTAATAGGAAGTTTTACAATATTAGATTTGTGCATATATATTAGATTAGTCAGTACTGAAGCCAAATCTGGAGCTTATCTAACATAATAACTTACGATAACGCTCCAAAAACTATTACAGCCAAATTTATATGTAATTTATAATTTACAAATTTAAAAAAGAGGAAAACTCCAGAGAAACAAAAAAAATTACAATTTAGTTGAAATTGTTTAGGTTGTAATTTTGTTTTGCAATATTTTGCTTGAATTTAATTGTATTATCTTTCAATTTCTAAATATGTGTGGTGACTAAAACATTATTTTAATAAATTTATCTGTTTAATAAATCTGTTTAGTTTAAATGCACCAGAATACATTGCCTATATTTACTGAGAAATGGATAAAATATTCATTTTCAAAATGGGGTGTACTCAATTATGCTGAGCACTGTATATACATTTAAAGTCAGAATAATTAGCCCCCTGAATTACTAGCCCCCCTGCTTATTTTTCCCCCAATTTCTGTTTAACAGAGAGCAGATTTCTTCAACACTTTTCTAAACATAATAGTTTTAATAACTCATCTCTAATAACTGATTTATTTTATCTTTGTCATGATGACAGTAAATAATATTAGACTAGATATTCTTCAAGACACTTCTATACAGCTTAAAGTGACATTTAAAGGCTGAACTAAGTTAATTAGGTGAACTAGGCAGGTTAGGGTAATTAGGCAAGTTATTGTATACCTATGGTTTGTCATGTAGACTATCGAAAAAATATATAGCTCAAAGAGGGCTAATAATATTGATCTTAAAATGGTGTTTAAAAAATTAAAAACTGCTTTTAATCTAGCTGAAAGAAAAACAAATAAGACTTTCTCCAGAAGAAAAAATATTATCAGACATACTGTGAACATTTCCTTGCTCTGTTAAACACCATTTGGGAAATATTAAAAAATCAAAAAAAAAAAAAAAAATCAAAGGGGGGCCAATAATTCTGACTTCAGCTGTGTGTATTTATATATATATATATTATATATATATGCAGTGTAATGAAAATAGCAAAAAAAAAATAGCACAAAAAAACATAATATCTTCTAATATGTGCATTTTCTTTTAATTTGAATGCTTTATTTTAAATTTACAACAGCAAATTAAAAAAATACATTAGCAATTTGTTTTGATGCCACTAATGCATAGAAATACAGCAGCTAAATGAAAGTGACACTGCTTATTACAGTGTTTGAGATGTTTTTATTTTGCAGGTGCGGCGTGTGTCTCAGGAGGTGTTGTACACTCAGAACGGGAACATCACTCTGGACGGCTCTCTGTCACACCTGCTGGTGGAGTGGGGTCAGTGGATCGACCACGACCTGACTTTAACACCGCAGAGTCCCAGCACTGCAGCCTTCAGGACCAGAGCCGACTGCACTCGCACCTGCAGCACTGACACACCCTGCTTCCCCATACAGGTGTGTGTGGGGGGAGGGGTTATGTGTGTTTGCCTGTGTCTGTGTGTTTTTATGTGTGTGCATGTTTTTGTTTGTGTGTGTGCATGTGTTTGTGTGTTTCGTGAGCATGTGTGTGTATGTGTGTGCAATAGTGTTGTCAAAAGGACTGATAACCCACACCCAATCCTTATTTTCCCAATAATTCCCTGTCCTGAAGTCAGTGAATCCGCTCATACTCCAGCACCTCATTAAACTGTGAGAAAGCAAAATCATATCATATCTAAATAATGAAATGGTTTATTCAACCTCTTCTCCTCCTGTTCAGATCCCGCTGTCGGACCCTCGCTCACACACTCAGTCCTGCATGGCGTTTTTCCGCTCTGCCCCGAGCTGCAGTTCTCCTCTCGGCCAGCGGGAGCAGCTGAACGCCATCACTGCCTTCGTGGACTCCAGCATGGTTTACGGGAGTTCAGATGCTCTGGCCCTCAGCTTGAGGAATCTCTCGTCTCCTCTCGGTCTTCTGGCTGTTAATCAGTTTCATTCAGATCAAGGGTTCGACTTTATGCCTTTCCTAAACCGCACGCAACCTCAGCTCGACCCCTGCGGCCCGCGCCAGCACTCAGACCACACCACTGCACCACAGCAGAACAACAACATCTCCATGGGGAACGCGTCCTTCTGCTTCCAAGCAGGTTGGAGACAGCAATATTAATTTATTACTTTTTTTTTTTTAATAATAATTTTATATTTGCAATTAATATTATATTTAACTAGCATAATAGATATTATTAGTGTAATTAAATAAAAACAATAATATTTATGAAATAAAATCAATAGTTTAAACAATAAAACAACAATATTTCTTTATTTATAATTAACAGTAAATATATTTTTTGTTCACTATTTTTTCCCAGACTACTTTCTTTTTTATCAAAAGTTTTCTTTTCTTTTCTTTATTAATTATTTTATTAATTTTATTGTTGTGGTATTGTATAATGTATATATTGAACATAGGTTTATATTATATTATATTATATTATATTATATTATATTATATTATATTATATTATATTATATTATATTATATTTTATTTATTTTTTATTTTATTTATTTTTTATTTTATTATTGTATATAATATTATTGCATATATTATATTATATTATATTATATTATATTATATTATATTATATTATATTATATTATATTAATTATATTATATTAAATTTTATTATATTATATTATATTATATTATATTATATTTTATTTTAATTTATTTTATTTTATTTTATTACACTTTTTTTGGTGGGTGATAGATAATAATAATAATTATAATTCCTTACATTTATATAGCGCTTTTCTGGGCACTCAAAGCGCTTTTACACACAATGGGGGATCTCCTCATCCACCACCAGTGTGCAGCATCCACCTGGATGACGCGACGGCAGCCAGATAGAGATGTATAAAATCACAAACTATAATATGTAAATATATTAGATTTAAAAATAAAATACAATGGTGTATAGTACACTCATTGTACACTTACACAATAATTATTTAAACATAAAAATATTTTACACCCAATTCGCTAATTTGTTATTATTTTTCAAAGTAATTATGAAATATTATTTTATTTGCATTAATTAAATAAATCTAATGGTTACAAATTATTTATTTACAAAAAATATTAAAATACATCAATTATGTTAATAATACATTACATTAATCATATATATAATAAAAATGAAATACTATTAAATAATAAAATTAATTTTATTTTTGTCCTTTTCCATTTATAAAATAACAATTTAATGTATTATCTTTATCCTAAACTCTCATATTAAGGGCTGTGGAGAGATGCTGGTGATACAAAATAAATTCATAAACAAGAATACATAATTTATTTTTTCAGTATATTTATTTATTTATAATTATTTGAGAATAAACATTGAGTAACATAATGTGAGAGCAGCAGTTTTTTTTATTTACTAGCCACTTGTCTTGTATGTAAGCTGACTATCTGATGACCTGTTTTTGTGGGCGTGTCTCAGGTGACTCTCGAGCCAATGAGCACTTGGGAATGATCGCTCTGCACACACTCTTTCTGAGAGAACACAACCGATTGGCTAAGGAGCTCCACAGGATCAACCCTCATTGGAGCCCGGACACACTGTACCAGGAGGCCAGGAAAATACTGGGAGCCGTCCACCAGGTAATACTTCAAATAAAATAAAATTAAACTAATTAAATAAATAATTAAATAATAATTAAATAATTAAATAAATTGTCCATTTCTTAGTGAATATAGATCATATTTTGGTTTATTTATAACAAAACAGTTTTATTAAGCTGCTGTATAAATTTAAAATCCTTTTTTGTTGTAATTCAAAGATAATACATTTAGAATCAAACAGAATATTGCAAAAAACAAAATAATTTCAGCTAAAATAATACATTTTATTGTTTATTTTGATTAATCCTCATTATTAAAATTGTATTTAATATTTTTCCCTAACATTAATTTGCATGTAGTAATTTTTGCGCTGTGATTTTATGTTGTTTTGTTAGATTAGCTCCAAATTTGGCTTTGATTGTGACTTTTAATTTATTTATTTTTTATTATAAAATATAATAATATATATAATCCTATTGAATTAATTTAATAAAAAAAAAAGATCTGTTTCTGCATCTGACTTGTTGTATGTTGTTTGACAGATCTTGACGTGGGATCACTATCTGCCACACGTCCTGGGCCGCAGTGCAAACCAGATCCTCATGCCGGCGTATAAAGGTTACGACCCCGCCGCTGACCCGAGCATCTCCAACATCTTCTCCACCGCTGCTTTTAGATTCGCGCATGTAACCGTGCATCCGGTGGTGAACCGCCTCGGACCTGATTACCGGTTGAGCCCTGCACACCCGGCTCTGCCATTGCACCACTCTTTATTTGCATCCTGGAGGGTGGTGAAAGAGGGTGAGAAGATTAACTTGCATATACTGAATCTGATGTGTTTGTCATAATACAAGCAGTCTTTAAAGGGCACCTATTATGCAAAAGTCACTTTTATAAGGGATTTGAACACAGTTGTGTGGTTATAGTGATTATAGCCATTCTCTAATGGTAAAAAATGTATTAATTCTATTTTTTATAATCATACTTGATACTCTGCAGAAACACGGATTGACATTCTCCTTTGTACGTGTCATCAGAGGGGGAAAGCCCCGCCCACTAGTGGTCATCTCTCCCTCATTAGCATAGGACGTTAGTCTTGTTTTTGAATCTGCCACTATGCTGACACACAGGCATTTGTAGCTCCGCCCTCTTCTGAAAAGAGCACAATCTCATTTGCATTTAAAGCGACAGTCACCAAAACACCACAATTAGAATCTTAAAGGGTCAGTTTCAGAGAGTTATACAACATTATTTGTGTGCTTTTTTGGCTTCAAACTTCACATACACACTCCAGGGACTCCTCCTTAGCTTTCATCTTAATACTAGCCGTAAAATGAGAGCTTAGACCTTATTTTACATTACAAATTCTCTAAAGATGTGGTTTGAATATGCAAATGAGACTACATTGTTAAACCCTCTAGTAGTAATGTCAGAAGGCAGCTGAGATTCTGACGCATGTGACTGTTTGCCTGTGCAGGAGGTATTGATCCAGTGCTGCGTGGTTTACTGGTGTCTCCGGCTAAACTGCAGACGGCGGATCAGATGATGGTGGAGGAGCTGACCGAAAGACTTTTCCAGGCTCAGGGAGGCCTGCCGCTCGACCTCGCTGCGCTAAACCTGCAGAGAGGACGAGACCACGGCCTGCAAGGTGATTCGTTTATTGATTGATTGACTGATTTATTTATTTGTTTATCTATTTATTTTACTTGTTTACTTATTTGTTTCTTATTTATTTTTGTTTGTTTGTTTGTTTATATATATATATAGTTGAAGTCAGAATTATTATCCTCCCTGAATTATTAGCGCCCCTGTTTATTTTTTTCACCAATCTCTGTTTAATGGAGGGAAGATTGTTTTAGCACATTTCTAAGCATAATAGTTTTAAAAACTTATTTCTAATAACTGATTTATTTTATCTTTGCCATGATGACAGTAAATAATATTTGACTAGATATTTTTCAAGACACTTCTATACAGCTTAAAGTGACATTTAAATGCTTAACTAGGGTAATTAGGTTAACTAGGCAGGTTAAGGTAATTAGGCAAGTGATTTTATAATGATGGTTTGTTCCGTAGATTATCGGAAAAAAAAATTAGCTTAAAGGGGCTAATAATTTTGTCCCAAAAATGTTTTTTTAAAAATTAATAACTGCATTTATTCTAGCTGAAATAAAACAATTAAGACTTACTCCAGCTGCAAAAAATATTATCAGACATACTGTGAAAATTTCCTTGCTGTGTTAAAAATCATTTAGGAAATATTTTATATTTTATATATTTTACAATATTTAATATTTTATAAAATAAAATCAAAAGGGCGCTAATAATTCTGACTTCAACTGTATATATATATATATATATATATATATATATATATATATATATATATATATATATATATATATATATATATATATATGTATATATATATATATATATGTATATATATATATATATATATATATATATATATGTATATATTTATGTATGTTTGTATGTATGTATGTATGTATGTATGTATGTATGTATGTATGTATGTATGTGTATATATATATATATATATGTGTGTGTGTGTGTGTGTGGTCGCAGGATAAAAGCTTCTGCTAAATGAGTAAATGCAAATGCAATCTTTCTTCATACAAATATTAGACCAATGTATAAAGTCTGCATAGAAAAACATGAAACAAAAAAATAGGCTAAAAATTAACAAATTACAAATCACTTGTAATTGTAGAATCTGATTAATTTATCATATAGCCTAGCTTAGTGTTTGTTTTCTGATAGCAAGGCAGTGAATAGACAAACAATATATATTTTTTAAAAGCATGGTTCTGTTGGCGCCAATAGCCTTGTGGTTAAGTGTGCCAACAGATAGCACCCGAGTTCGATTTCCGGCTTCGATTCCAAATAAAGATAACCCCTAAAAAATTATTATAAAAAAAAAGCATGGTTTCATTTATTTGTAAAACAACAAAAAATAAAACCACATATCCATTAGAAAAAAAAGTAACAACAACTTAGTGACAATAGGACAGACCTTTTTCATTTCTAAAAAAAAAAGCTTTTTAGGTACACATTGTTTGATGATTTCATGAAAAGTCTCAAATATAATCCATGATGCAACAAAAATTCAGTTTTTCATAAGTATTACTGACTGAGGTTCTTGTTGCTGTCTACAGTGGAGCTACAGTTTAAGATCACAAATGCACATACTACTACTACTACTACTAATTATAATACTAATAATAATATAATAATAATTAATTTCATAGCATTTTCTTGTCGGCTTAGTCCTTTTATTTATCTGGGGTTGCCACAGCGGAATGAACCACCAACTTCCAGCCGCAACACATTTCTTGGCAACATCCACACACACATTCACACACACGCTCATACACTACGGACAATTTAGCCTACCCAATTCCCCTGTACCACATGTCTTTGGACTGTGGGGGAAACCGGAGCACCCGGAGGAAACCCACGCGAATGCAGGGAGAACATGCAAACTCCACACAGCAACGCCAACTGAGCCGAGGTTCGAACCAGCGACCCAGCGACCTTCTTGCTGTACCTACTGTGCCACTGCCTCGCCTTCATAATAATAATATTAATAGTAATAATAATATTATAATTAATGATTATGATGCACCCATTTCTAAAGAGAATTTGGAACCATTTACTAATTTCTACACCCAATTCTGCTGTAGTGTCAAGTCAAGTAAGTAAGAAGGAAAGACAAATGACTTCAATCCGATAGAGCAGTGGTTCTCAAACCTTTTTTTTTATCAAGTACCACCTCAGAAAAAATTGTCTCTCCAAGTACCACCATATGACCAGTATTGAAATACAGTAGCGTAGTAGACCTAATTATGCAGCTACAGCTCTGCACAGTTTAAAAACATGGCAGATTAATTACTATTGTTAATAATATTTATTATAATCAGCCACTTTAAACCTTATAAATTGTTTAAACATTAACACTGTACCGTGCTTAAATGTAAAAAAAAAAAAAATAATAATAAATAATTTGTCAACCTTTAAATTAAAATGTGCTTTTTAAAATTTCTTTAATAATTATAGGCTACTGTTCTTAAAAAGTAAAAAAAAATCTATCCTGTACTTAAATGTAAAGTGTTAACCTAAGCCGGGAAATGCTGCTTGGACCTCATAAATGTAGGCTGTATGTCATCATATTCATAAACGAACTATTTTTGATCAATTTTAAATGTATATTGCATGTACATATGACATATTGGATTACTCTGCGCACCGCTAGAAGGCAGACCACGTACCACTTGTGGTACATGTACCACAGTTTGAGAACCACTGCGATAGAGGACTTGAGAAATGAACGGATCAAATGTCTTTCCGGCTCTAAACGCATATGATTGGCTTGCCCTTCCGTGATGAACGTCTCAAAAGACTTGAAAAATGAACGATGTCACCTGCACAAATGCGCGGATGAACGAATCACTCCCTGAGAGGACTCGTAGTTCCCGAGTAATATTGAAGATTCATTCAAAATGAACGAATTGTTTAAGAACGACCCATCACGAATCAGAACACCGCTCGAAATCAGAATTGAGGACCGGAATTGTTTGTTTTATGAAGTATTATAGCTATTTATTTCTGCATTAGGTTACAGTGTGTGGCGTGAGCTCTGTGGTCTGCCTGCGCCGGTGAACGAGTCTGCTTTATCAGGGATTCTGGGTAACACTGCTCTGGCCAGGAAGCTGCTGGATCTGTATGGAGTTGCTGAGAATATAGACGTGTGGGTCGGGGCCATTGCGGAGCCAGCTCTGCCTGGGGGCCGCGTGGGGCCGCTGCTGGCCTGCCTTATAGCCAGACAGTTCAGAGGCCTGAGAGACGGAGACCGGTGAGTGGACCACATACTGACCCACACGCTGACCTACACATTGACTCACACGCTGACCCACAGATTGACTCACACACTGATCCACATGCTGACCCACATTCTGACCCCCAATTAAATACTGGATTACATGCCAAGCAATATCCTAATGTGTCCTGATATGCTGAAGTGTTGATTGTTTCAGCTTCTGGTGGCAGAATGAAGGAGTGTTCAGCTCGGGTCAGAGAGACGCTCTCCGCTCCACTTCTCTTTCCCGGATCATCTGTGAAAACACACACATCCAGCAGGTTCCCCTCGACCCTTTCACAAACACAATGCGTCCTGAAGAGCTGCTGTCCTGCTCCAACATCCAGCTTTTTAACCTCTCGGCCTGGACTGAGCCGGACTCGGGTACTGACTGACCTCACAATACATACTAGATGTACAAAAATAGTACTTTAAATAATAGTCAAAATTATTGATTAAATTTAACTGATGGATCTGACACCCTATTATGGTTATTTACAAATGTATTTTAATTAAATAGCATTTTAAAAAAATTAATTAAATACAATATATATATTTTATTAAAATAAATTAAGGATATATATTAAAATGAAATAGTTAAAGTATTTAAAATTATTAAAGGAAATAAAATGAAACTGATTAATCTAAAAATGTAAGTAAATTGTAAAAAATAAAATAATAAAAAAGTAATAATTACATTAAAACAAATTATATATATATATATATATATATATATATATATAAATTAGGTAGTAAAATTTATTCAAATTTTAACTACTGATACCCATTTTATTTTTTATTATTATATATTATAATATTAAACTGATCAATCTCACACTATTTTAGGTATTTAAACAATGTAATTTAATTGTTTAATTTAAAAATAATAATAATTTATACAATTACAATAATATTTATTTTAAAAAGTATGGATATATATTTAAATAAGTAGTAAAAAATATTAAGATTTGGACTTCTGATATTCAGTTTATTGAGTTTTATTTTTAATTTTAAAATTATGTTTGAATAAAGTAAATTAAATAAAACGATGAATCTGTCAGTCTTTTATAGTTATTTAAAATAAATTATAAAACTTTGAAATTGTATCATTTAATTTTGATAAAAAATTAAATGATAAAATTAAATGTAAAAAATAATTTAAAATAAATTATGGAAATATAAGTAATTCATATAAATTCATATACATTTTAATTGTATTATATTTTGGATTGACCCATCTGATTTCCAGTTAATTGATTTTATTTGGATTTTTTTTTTCTTAAAGTTCTTTTTTTTATTTGATTCAATTCATCTTTATTTGTATAGCGCTTTTACAATGTAGATGTGTCAAAGCAGCTTCACATAGAAGATTATAGTGAATTGAAACCGTGTAGTTCAGTTTTCAGAGTTTAGGTTCAGTTTAGATTAGTTCAGTTCAGTGTGGTTTAATATTCACTGCAGAGAGCTCAAACACTGAAGAGTAATCCAACGATGCGCAGCTCTACAGATCCCAAACCAAGCAAGCCATCGGCAAGGAAAAAACTTCACCAATCGTCAAAAGTGAAGAATGAAAAACCTCGAGAGAAACCAGGCTAAGTTGCGCATGACCATTTCTCCTCTTGCCAAATGTTTTGTGCAGAGCTGCAGTCTAGGCGCTGGAGAATGCTGGACCTCAGCGAAGACTCGTCTGTCCCTGGAGCTTCACAGGAATCAGTCTCATCACTCCCCCATGACCACCACAGCAGCTGCTCAGGATACGGCCTGGTCCAGGATTATGGATACCTTGTGATCATCTCTTCACAAGTCTTGGATCGCATCAGTGGCGCAGCATAATCTCTGGGGGCTTTAGTATCCCCAGGGGGAAATAGAGAATAAAGAGAATAATTAGCGTAGCTGCAGTTCATAGTGTATATAAACGAGATGAGTGGGGCACATTTATGTATCATACCGCTAAGTGAAGCACTAAGTGTGTGTTTTACTAAAAATATCGGTCTTTAATCTAGTTATGAACTGTGAGAGTGTGTCTGAGCCTCGGACATTATCAGGAAGGCTATTCCAGAGTTTAGGAGCCATAAATGAGAAGGCTCGACCTCCTTTACTCGACTTTTCTATTCTAGGTACTACCAGAAGCCCTGAGTTTTGAGATCTTAAAGATTCTGATCTAGTCCTGGTGTGCTGTTTATCTGTGTTGTTTTCAGACCCAGTATGTGGTGCGGTGCCGCGGTTGACTCTGGGTTTCTCTGTCCTCTGTGGCTCTGCTGTGTTTTATCAGTGTCCTGCTGGATTCCTGCTAATCGGAGCCACACACGTCACCTGTGACCCACAAACACACCACTGGAGCCCACAAACACCCACCTGCCAAGGTGTGATACGATTTAACATGATTTAATTTATGTTACTAAATGTAAAATAGCATCAGATTAACTGGTAAATATGTATCATTAAATTATTTTTAATACTAAATGAATTCAATATAGCAAATAATAGCAATAATGTTATTGGTTAGTTTAGTTTAATTTAATTTTGAAACATTACATGTAGAATAATACATAGCATTAAACAGTAAGTAGTAATGACAAAATATGAATTAGTTTTTATTTAATTAAATTGCAGTCAAAATGGGTTCAAAAAATGCCCCCCCATTTTATTACGCCAATGTTTTCATAAATGTTATTTCAGATATCGATGAATGTTCCACTGATTCGGCCGTCTGTCCTCCACACCTGCAGTGCCTCAACACACCTGGAGGATATACCTGTACAGGTGAGCAGCTTCTACCACACCCATCACCTGCTGTTTCCTCAATCATCGCATGTTAATCACATTAATGAGCTGTGATCGGTCATATTCAGAAGCTATAGCGCCGCACACATATTCACGCATATTAATGAGCTGTAATTTGTTACATATTCAGAAGTTGCAGCTCCACTTGCATATTAATCACACTCATGAGCTGTACAGTTACATATTTACATATTAATCACACTAATGAGCTGTATTTACATATTAATCACACTAATGACCTGTAATTTGTTAGATATTCAGAAATTGTAGCTCCGCCCTCATATTAATCACATTAATAAGCTTTTATCAGTGACATAATCACGTATTAATCACATTTATGAGCTGTGATGTTATATATTTTCTTAAACCGAAGCTCCGCCCACATAATAATCACATTAATGAGATGTAATCACAATATTAGCTGAAATCTGTTACATATTCCCATATTAATTACACTAATGAGCTGAAATTTCTTACATATTCAGAAGCTGTAGCTCCGCCCCCACACAAGAATGCATATTAATTACATTAATAATTTGTAATTTGTACATTCAAAAGCTGCTGCTCTACTCAGACATTAAGGAATATTAATTTTATTAATAAGCTATAATTACTTATTCAGGAACTGTAGCTTCGCCCCCACACATTAACGCATATTAATTAGCTTTAATCTGTTACATATTTAGTAGTTTCAGCTCTGCTTGCATATTAATCGCACTAATGAGCTGTACAGTTACATATTAACATATTAATCACACGAATGAGCTGTGAGGGTATATTATCAGAAACCGTAGCTCCGCCCACATAATAATCACATTGAGTTGTAATTACATTAATTAGCTTAAATCTGTTACATATTAACATCTTAACACTAATGCACACTAATGAGCTGTAATTTGTTACATATTCAGAAGCTGTAGCTCCACCCACACATGAATGCATATTAATCACATCAATAAGTTAAAATTGGTACATATTTAAAAGCTGCAGTTCTAATCACACATTAATGCATATTAATTGTATTAATGAGCAGCAATTTGTTATTCAGGGGCCGTAGCTTCTCCCCCCCCCCCCCCCCCCACATTAATGCATATTAATTAGCTTTAATCTGTTACATGTTCAGAAGCTTTCGTTATTCTTGCATATTAATCACACTAATGAGCTGTGAAGTTACATATTCACATATTAATTACACTAATGAGCTGTAATTTGTTACATATTCAAAAACTGTAGCTTCGCCCACACATTAATGCATATTAAATACATTAATGAGCTATAATTTGTTTGATATTTAGAAACTATAGTTCCACCCACACATTAATGCATATTAATAAGTTGTAACATGTAAAATATTCAGAAGCTTCAGCTTCGTTTGCATATTAATCACACTAATGAACTGTGATTTCACATGTTAATCACACTAATATGATGTTAAGTTACATATTTGCATATTAATCCCACTAATGAGCTGTAAAATTACATATTCGCATATTAATCACACTAATGAGTTGTAAAGTTACATATTCACGTATTAATCACACTAATGAGCTGTAAAGTTACCTATTTGCGTAACTGCAACTGCATACACATTAACGCATATTAAATACATTAATGAGCTGTAATTTGTTAGTTATTACAAAACCATATAGCTCCACCCACACATTAATGAATATTAATAAGTTGTGATCTGTTAAATATTCAGAAGCTTCAGCACCATTTGCATATTAATCACTCTAATGAACTGTGATGTGACATATTAATCACACTAATGAGCTGTAATTTGTTACATATTCACATATTAATTACACTAACGAGCTGTAAATTGTTACGTATTCAGAAGCTGCAGCTCTGCATACACATTAATGCAAATTAAATACATTAATGAGCTGTAATTTGTTAGATATTCCGGAATCGTAGCTCCACCCACACATTAATGAATATTAATTATTTGTAATCTGTTAAATATTCAGAAGCTTCAGCTCCTTTTGCATATTAATCACATTAATGAGCTGTGATCTGTTAAATATTCAGAAGCTGCAGCTCCGCCCCTCTCCGCCTCCTCCATTGCTGGATCAGTGATGTCAGTCTTGGGGGGCGTGGCTTTGATCATGCTCCTCCTCTTCTGCTATCAGAGGTCTGTCAGAAACCGCTAACACTGTTGTCTAACATGCGTAAACACACAGTATTCACACTTTACATGTCGATCCTGCAGATTTATCCTGAGGAAAGCCGATCCACCGAAGCCTGATTGCTGTCAGAGGACGAGCTGAGGGAAAACTGGTTTGTTTATACATGTTCAGTGTTCTGGTTTCACAAGCACAGTCTGGAAACGCATGAAGGCACAGCATTTTTAACATTTCTCACAGTGTCCCTGCCCTTCAGAAGGCTTTTGTCTGTGTTAAATCTGCTGTCATGAGACGTCACATCAGCTGATGCTCAAAAAAACTGACGCTTTGTTTGTACACTTATTTTTACACGTTTGTACATGCATTTGTGAATTTGTACACATATTTCAACTGGAATATTTATGCTGAGGACATTAGCCCTACTGTAAAATATGAATTCTTTTTAAAGCAATAGTTTTAATAACTCATTTCTAATAATTGATTTCTTTTGTGTTTGCCATAATGACAGTAAATAATATTAGACTAGATTTTCTTCAAGACACTTTACTGATTCTGTAGCCAAAAAATAAAACTCTTAAGTAGGATCATAATATTGACCTTAGCAGTTAAAACAAATCTTATATAAAAAAAATAGTCAAATAATATAATATGAAAGAAAGATAATATGAAATACAGGGATTTTTTTCTTGCTCTGTTAAATAGCACTTGGGAAATATTTTGAAAAGCTCTAATAATTTTGTCTTCAACTGAATACATATAAATATTATAAATTGCAGTCTTAATATTAATTTATTTAAGATGCATTATATTAATCAAATATGCAAATGTGGCACTAAATAATAGCATTGGAGTGAAGACCAACTAAACCATGATAAAGACAAGAAAACTATTTTTCGAATAAATCTAATGTGACTTGCAAATTTAGTAAATTGGAAACGCAAATGAATCGAATTTGACAACCGAATGAATTGAACTTGACATGCAAATGAAACGAATTGGATACACGAACAAATCGAATTTTACGCTTAAATGAATCGAATTTTACAAGCGAATAAATCGAATTTTACTCTCAAATAAATCGAATTTGACACGCAGATTAATGGAATTTGACAACCGAATGAATCTAACTTGACATGCAAATTAAACGAATTGGACACACGAATGAATCGAATTTGACAAGCAAATTAATGGAATTTTACACTCAAATGAATCGAATTTGACACGCGAATGAATGGAATTTGACACGCAAATTAAGCAAATTGGACACATGAATGAATAGAATTTTATGCTCAAATGAATCGAATTTGACAAGCGAATGAATGGAATTTTACAATCAAATGAATCGAATTTGACATGCGAATAAATGGAATTTGACACGCAAATTAAGCAAATTGGACACATGAATGAATAGAATTTTATGCTCAAATGAATCATATTTGACAAGCGAATGAATCGAATTTTACTCTCAAATTAATCGAATTTGACACGTGAATGAATGGAATTTGACAACCACATGAATCAAACTTGACACGCAAATTAAGCAAATTGGACACATGAATGAATCAATTTTGACGCGCGAATGAATCGAATTTGACGCACGAATGAATTAATATCGACGCACGAATGAATCGATATTGACGCATGAACGAATCGAATTTGACACGCAAATTAAAAGAATTTGACACCCGAATGAATGGAATTTGACATGCAAATTAAGCGAATTGGACACACGAATGAATCGAATTTTACGCTCGAATGAATCGAATTTGACACGCAAATGAATGGAATTTGACAATCTAATGAATCAAATTTGACACGAATTAAGCAAATTTGACGTACAAGTTAAACGAATTTGACGCGCGAATTTGATGAGTGAATTAAGTTCAATTCAATTCAGCTTTATTTGTATAGCGTTTTTACAATGTAGATTGTGTCAAAGCAGCTTCACATGAATGGTCATAGTAACTGGAACACGGTGGTTCAGTTTTTAGTGTTTAAGTTCAGTTCAGTTTAGCTCAGTTCAGTGTGGTTTAAAGTCATTACTAAGATTTCAAACACTGAAGAGCAAATTCATCGATGCACAGCTCGACAGATCCTGAACCATGCAAGCCAGTGGCGACAGCGGAGAGGGAAAAAACACTTCACCAATAGGAGATTGAAGAAAAAACCTTGAGAGAAACCAGACTCAGTTCGGCACAACCATTTTAATTTCTCCGCTGGCCAAAAGTCTTGTGCAGAGCTGCAGTCTAAGTGAATTTGATGCGCAAATGAAGCACAATAACTCAAAATGTTCACATGTCTATTCACACGCAGAGCGTATGTGGTGTGAACACAGCATTAGACATGGTGTAATTCACAAAAAAACAAGACCAATCACACATGAATATTTCGAAGATTATTTTTAATAGGCTAAAAACACATAAGAAGCTTCTTTGAAACACAACAAGGCGCTTCAACTTGCGATAAACGGTACTTAAGTGATGGAGCGGAGTGTAGACATCATATAAAAGTCCAGTCAGTTCATCGCAGGCCAGCTCTACTGTAAACACTGTATCTGTGCTGTAAGACAGCGACTGTTTAGCATGCAGCAGCTATTATCTACAGTATATGAGTGCAATGCATCATGGGACAACCTGCTGATAGATTGTGATCATCAGTATCCATATTATACAGGACGTCAGTAACAGACTAAGCCGCTTAGATTGAGGTTTGCATAGAAAAGATTGTAAACTGTTCACCGAGGCACAAAGCATGCTGGGACAGAAAGCAGCCTAGTGTTGTTTTTTATTGTGTAATATTGCGTTCCAATTGCAGATCTGATACTATTAATAAACGTTTATACGTTGTTGCTCAAATGCTTGATGTAACTTTTTTCATTGTAGTTTTGTAATATTTCCTAAACATACAACACAATGATTTTATTTTTCTTAAAACTGGAGAACAAACGTTGAAAATATTGTGAATATTCAAGTGTTGTAATATTTAATACGCAAATAGATAAAATACGAAAAACCGCTAATTTACGGATATAATTTACGGTAACTCTAAGCAAAGCATCATGGGAGTGTGTGAAATGATAATGTGGGTGTGTGTGTGTGTGTGTGTGTGTGTGTGCGTTTTAGCTGTGCTCGGTGTGGAAAAAGCCTAGTTTAGCCACACTCATCTCTCTCCGCAGCCGCATCACTTCCCAGAACATCTGCTGAACTACAAACACAGAGGAAAATTACAAAAATAAACACAGTTAGCAGCTCTCCTGACATGCTTTATTAGAATTAGTGGTATTTTCTTATTTTTATTTACTTTTAATTAAGTCGTATGAATACATTTAAAATATAAATCCCTTTTATGAGGTATTATGAGATTGTTTCAACTAACAACTATTCATAAATACAGTCATTTGCTTGGTTTCTAAATGATTCAGCTGTTTTGAATGAATCATTTGAGTTTATGATTGAATGATTTATACATAAATAGTAATTTGCTTAGTTTCTAAATGAATCAGCTGTATTGAATAATTCATTTGAGATTATGATTCAACGAGTCATTTATAAATACAGTCACTTGCTTGGTTTCTAAATGATTCAGCTTTTTTGAACGAATCATTTGAGTTTATGATTGAATGATTTATACATAAATAGTAATTTGCTTAGTTTCTAAATGAATCAGCTGTATTGAATAATTCATTTGAGATTATGATTCAACGAGTCATTTATAAATACAGTCACTTGCTTGGTTTCTAAATGAATCAGCTGTTTTGAACACATCATTTGAGATGCTTATTCAACGATTCATTTATAAAGACAGTCATTTGCTTACTTTCTAAATGAGTCAGCTGTTTTGAACACATCATTTGAGATTATGATTCAACTAGTCATTTATAAATACAGCCTCTTGCTTGGTTTCTAAATGATTCAGCTGTTTTGAACGAATCATTTGAGTTTATGATTGAATGATTTATTCATAAATAGTCGCTTGCTTAGTTTTAAATGAATCGGCTGTTTTGAATGTGTCATTTGAGTTCATGATTCAAAGAGCCATTCATAAAAACAGTCACTTGCTTGGTTTCTAAATGAATCAGCTGTTTTTTAACGAATCATTTGAGTTTATGATTCATTCATAAATACAGTCATTTGCTTAGTTTCTAAATTAATCAGCTGTTTTGAATGAATAATTTGAGATTATGATTCAATGAATCATTTATAAATACAGTCATTTGCTTAGTTTCTAAATGAATCAGCTGTTTTGAACACATCATTTGAGATTGATTCAACGAGTCATTTAAAAAACAGTCACTTGCTTGGTTTCTAAATGAATCAGCTGTTTTGAACGAATCATTTGAGTTCATGATTCATTCATAAATACAGTCATTAGGTGCGTTCGACTACATGCAGCGCTGCGCAGATCGATCGAAATCTGTCTTAAAGCGGTGCATTCTGGTTAGAAATCTTGTCCGGATTGATGCTGCGCCGACGCCACGTGACTGTCACATGTGGCATCAAAGTACCGCGACAGTGCTCCGAGATCAGACGGCAAACTCAGACCGTGCAGCTTCTGAAGAGCGACTGCAGGAGCTTTGATGACGACACCGATATTACACGATTGGCCGAGTTCACCACATGACAACAAACACGTGTATTTCGGGTTTATAATTGGACAAATTCCGATTCAAAAGTTTCAAAACAAACAATTCACTTTTCACACCCTCTCTATCCTGTACACATCTTGCTTATTACAAGACTACAAATATTTTACTGCAGTATCATCTTTTGTTAAATAATCTGGTTATAAAGGTTAGCTTGTTTGCACAGGTTTATTTTTTAACTTTTTTATACAGACTATTTACTGCATTCATCTCCATGAACGATTTAAATGATATATTTTAGTGTATATTTTAGTGAATAACCTAAATATGAACTCAAATAAGTCTTACAGACTTGAAATAAAATAATCATCATCATTGATCCTGCCCCCCTAAAGCTCTCTTAACAAATTAAAGTAAAGAACTATTTTATTAAATAATTATAAAATGGTTTTATTATTATAATATAAATATATATTTTATTTCCTGTCTAGCAGTTTAAAGGCGACCTGCTCTTTCTGGGAAACTTCTACATCGCTCACTTATTTTACCTTTTGTTCTTTTCAACACAATCTTTTTGGATTAAAATGCTTTTTTGAAAATTCATTCATTATCCAAAATAATGTCATTTATTAAGACCTAATCAAAACACCTTGTTTTGCTTTTTACATTGGACATTTTTATATCTATAAATGTACATATATGTAAACCCTTTTTTAGCAGATTCAAACAAGAAGTATTAGCCTAAAGATTGATGTTTAACTCCTAGAATTTATGCTTATTGCTTTGTATTTAATAGACCTGTTCGTTTTTATGTTTATATTAACCTCTCATTTCCTCTTATTTCTCTCATGCATTTGTTATATATTTTATTCATAATTCTCCCTTATTGTTTAAAAAGGAACTACAGTTTGAAGAGCCTGTATTCTGTTTTATTTGTAAATGTTTTGTTGCTATAAATAAAAATAACAAAAAAATATGATGACGCCATGTGATCGGTCATCATGACTGCAGCAACTTTGAGTCCCGAAGTGTCCAGCTGTCCGTCTTGACGGCTCCGTTTTCAACTCCGCCCCGCCTGCGCTCGGCTAATCTCGTTGATCACCGGCTGCAGCTGAGCTTCATGTCGAACGCACCTATTTGCTTAGTTTCTAAATGAATCAGCTATTTTGAATGAGTCATTTGAGTTCATGATTCAAAGATCCAATTATAAAAACAGTCACTTCCTTGGTTTCTAAATGATTCAGCTGTTTTGAACAAATCATTTGAGTTTATGATTCAGCGGTTCGTTCATACAGTCACTTGCTTGGTTTCTAAATGAATCGGCTGTTTTGAATGAATCATTTGAGTTTGATTCAATTATCCGTTAATAATTGTTAAGTTATTTTAATGAATGATTTAAAGATAAGTTACTTGCTTAATTTCAAACTAATTATTTGTAATTATTAAATTGGATTTAAGATAATATTTAATAGTATTGTATATGATTTAAATAGCCAAAGTGTGTTTTAGGAGACTAGTAAAGAGCTGGTTAACTTACCATCCTGCCTGACAAGGCCTTGCTGGATGTACCTGATGTATGTAAAGAAATTACACACTGCGGTGATCTGTGAGGAGAAACACTGATGTTTATTAGCTGATCCCCAAATAAACCTATTATTAAATTAGTGCTGAAGATGAGAGACTCACTCGAGCTCTGCTGGATAGAGAAATATAATAATAGTTCTCTTTATCTCCCAGTTTAATGCGGTGTCTGCAGGGGCGCGTCAATCCACTCAGCGCACACTTACTGATCAGACACAAGAGAACAACACTGGTCAACACAGCTGTCAATCACACCACAGAGCACTCTCAACAGCCAATTAGATTCAAGCTTGCCCAGACAAAACAAACACTTAAAACCTGTTCTTCCCTCTCATCTGTTTCAATACAAACACAATAAAAGCTGAAAACGGAGGATGGAAAATATGAATTAAAAATAAATATATACTTTACAATTAAGGGTTAATATTGATTATTTAACTAACAAAAATAATCAGTAAGCTGTTTATTTTTTTCCCTACATTCTGACATTTTATTTAATTTGTAAAATAAATAAATAAATAAATAAAACTATTCTTATTTTTACATTTTGACATTTTATTTAGTTTGAAATTTTTTATCTTTACATTTATATATTAATAGTGTATTTTCGCAAAAATGTAACATTTAAACAAACTAATAAATATTGTTTTACTTTGTGCATTATTTATCAAATTTGATTATAATTTAAAAATATTTATTTAATATAATTATGTAAACTTATATTAAATGTGTTCAGAATGCATTTAAATAAATAAATATAATAATTAACAATAATAAATAAAAACAATTAGCTATTTTTACATTCTTATATTTTATTTAATTCAGATTTCTTTATCTTTACTTTTATATATTATTTGTGTATTTATTTTTGCAAAAATGTAACAAATAGACAAACTATTAAATATTATTTTTAGTTGTACATTATTTTTTCAATTTAAATATATTTATTTAATATAATATATATTAAATGTGTTTAGAATGCATTCAAATAAAATATATACTTTACAATAAGGTATTTGTGTATAAATTGTGTACTTATTTTTTGCAAAAATGTAACAGTTAAATAAACTACTAAAATATTTTAATTGGTACATTATTATTGCATTTAAATACATTTATGTAATATAATTACTTAAATAGTAAATGTGTTTAACATGCATTTAAATTAACTAATAAATGAATGAAACAATTCTCCTTTTCTTTAACATTTTGACAATTTATTAATTTAACATTTTTATCTTTACTTTTATATATTAATCATGTATGTATATATATATATATTTGCAAATATGTAACAATTAAACAAACTACTAAATATTATTTTAATTTGTACATTATTTTATTGTATTTAAATATATTTATTTAATATAATATATATTAAACGTATATTAAATGTGTTTAGCATGCATGTAAAGAAAATTAATTAAAATATGTAAATAAATAAATAAATAAAATAAATAAATATTTAGTCAGACAGGAACTGACAGTATAATGTGTTAGTTTGTGTAAACAGGATTTCATCCGCATTTGCTTTCTATGAATGACTTACGTTTCTATTGGTGTCCAGCAACCGCTGCGAAAAAACACAACAAATCAACAGAAATTAATGAAAGATTCAAATCTGACTAAAACATCATCATGATTATGAGAAAGCAGAAAATATGCCTGTGGGTTTATGTTTATATATTCTTAAGATATAAAACACCTCAGTAATATACACTCACTGGCCACTTTATTAGGTACACCTTACTAGTACAGGGTTGGACCCCCTTTTGCCTTCAGAACTGCCTTAATCCTTCTGGTATAGATTCAACAAGCTACTGGAAATATTCCTCAGAGATTTTGCTCTAAAACATGATAGCATCACACAGTTGCTGCAGATTTGTCGGCTGCACATCCATGATGCCAATCTCCCGTTCCACCACATCCCAAAAGTGCTCTATTGGATTGAGCTCTGGTGACTGTGGAGGCCATTTGAGTACAGTGAACTCATTGTCAAGTTCAAGAAACCAGTCTGAGGTGATTCACGCTTAATGACACGGTGTGTTTCCCTGCTGGAAGCAGCCATCAGAAGATGAAGACACTGTGGTCATAAAGGGATGGACATGGTCAGCAACAATACTCGGGTCTCTGCTGCGACATTTGGATTGATCATAGCAGAATCCTGAGTGTCTAGAATTCGAGACTCTTCAGACCAGGTGATGTTTCTCCAATCTTCTATTGTCCAGTTTTGGTGAGCCTGTGTGAATTGTAGCCTCAGTTTCCTGTTCTTAGCTGACAGGAGCGGCACCCGGTGTGCTCTTCTGCTGCTGTAGCCCATCTGCCTCAAGGTTGGACGTGTTGTGTGTTCAGAGATGCTCTTCTGCAGACCTGACGAGTGCTTATTTGAGTTACTGTTGCCTTTCTATCAGCTGAAACCAGTCTGGCCATTCTCCTTTGACCTCTGGCATCAACAAGGCATTTGCGCCCACAGAACTGCCGCTCACTGGATATTTTCTCTTTATCGGATAGTTCTCTGTAAACCTTAGAGATGGTTGTGCGTGAAAATCCCAGTAGATCAGCAGTTTCTGAAATACTCAGACCAGCCCGTCTGGCACCCAAGATCAAAGTCACTTAAATCATAGTTCTTCCCCATTCTGATTCTCGGTTTGAACTGCAGCAGATCGTCTCGACCATGTCTGCATGCCTAAATGCATTGACTTGCTGTCATGTGATTGGCTGATTAGAAATTTGCGGTAACAAACTGTTGGACAGGTGTACCTTAAAAAGTGGCCCGTGAGTATTTAACATATAAAGTGTGTTATTTATCTGAATATCAGCACTGTATCACCAAATTAAGACGAGAAATGAGAAGTTAATATGGTGAGAGTTACATTTTAGACACAATATTTTGTGTTTTTTTCTTGTTTTGCTAATAAAAATATTTCCAAACCATTTCCAAATCCATTTCCTGAATGAATGTTTTTTTTTTTTAAATAATCATAAGTGAATCAGCTGTTTTGAATGAATCATTTGAGTTTACGATTCAATGATCCATTCATAAATACAGTCCCTTGCTTATTTTCTAAATAAATCTCCAGCTTTGAATGAATCATTTGAGTCATTCATAAAGAAAGTCAGTTCCTTCGGTCCTAAATGAATCAGCTGTTTTGAACGAATCATTTGAGTCATTTGTAAAGTTCATTCGTGAAGATTCGTTCATCTGTGACTTACTTTGTTCCTCCTTGATGGATGTTTTTGTCGGTGGGCAGGGAGGATGTGATGACGGGCTCAATGGTCAGAGAGTTATTCTCCACACAGCGCTGGACTGACTGGGAGAGCTGGAGAAGAGCAGAAACAGAGCGTCAGAGGAGACTGTGATGGGATGTAAACATATGTGAACACACACTGACCTCAGCGGAGGTGAAGGACAGGCAGGGCCCGATGTCCTCTCTGTAGACACGACTGATGAATGCAGATGATCGCTCCAGATTCGGACACTCCTTCCAGGACAGAAACTCTGCAAACAGCACTGAGTCCAGCTGGACAACACAAACAGACACACACACATTATTAACACTCAGTTTAGATCAATCTAAGCATTATTTATATTCATAAAGCTGTTTTAAATGAATCATTTGAGTTTATCATTCAATGACCCATTCATAAAGACATTCAATTGCTTTGTTTATAAATAAATCAGCTGTTTTGAAGGAGTCATTTAAGTTTATGATTCAATGACTCATTCATAAAAAGTCAGCTGCTTCGTTTCCAAATGAATCAGCTTTTTTGAATGAATCATTTGAGTTTAGGAATCAAAAACTCATTCATATAGACATTCAATTGCTTTGTTTCTAAATAAATTAGCTGTTTTGAAGGAGTCATTTAAGTTTATGATTCAAATACTCATTCATAAAAAACGTCAGCTGCTTTGAATGAATCATTAAAATGTATGATTCAATGACCCATTCATAAAGACACCCAGTCCCTTTGTTTCTAAATGAATAAGCTGTTTTGACTGAATCATATGAACTTATGATTAAATTACATATTTATAAAGAAAGTCACTTTATTTGTTTCTAAATTAATCGGCTGTTTTGAAAGAGTCATTTGAGTTTGATTCAATCGCGCAATTATAAAACACAGTTAGTTGTTTTGTTTCTAAAAGAATCAGCTGTTTTAAAGAATTCATTTGAGTTTATGATTCAATGACTCATTCATAAAAGTCAGCTGTTTTGTCTCTAAATGAATCAGCTCTTTTGAATTAGTCATTTGAGTTTATGATTCAGTGACTTATTCACAAAAAAACGTCAGCTGCTTTGTTTTTAAACGAATCAGCTGTTTTGAATGAACCATTGAAATTTATGATTCACTGACCCATTCATAAAGTCACCAGGTCTCTTTGTTTCTAAATGAATCAGCTGTTTTGACTGAATCAAATGAACTTATGAATAAATTACACATTTATAAAGAAAGTCACTTGATTTGTTTCTAAATTAATCGCCTGTTTTGAAAGAGTCATTTGAGTTTGATTCAATCGTGCAATTATAAAACACAGTTAGTTGCTTTGTTTCTAAATGAATCGGCTCTTTTGAAGGAGTACTTTGAGTTTATGATTCAATGACTCATTCATAACAACAGTCACTTTCTTTGTTTCTAAATGAATCTGTTGTTTTGAATGAATCATAAAGGCGGTAATTAGCTTTAAAGTTTAGATTATTCTTCCTAAAAAGCAATTCCTCAATGTAAATAGTTATAATTTTATTTTTTTCTGCATATTTTCAGCATCATTTGTACCCTGTTGCCATGGAGACCTGCCAAGCAGCCTCTAACAGCAGAGATCAGAGGTCAGGAATCAGACACACAGTATCAGAGAGAGGAAGACAGGAGCTGCAGACATCAGAGAAACACAGAGCAGAAAAGAAGAAGAACAGCAAGAAAACACTGATCAAGACCGTCATTACACGGGTACACATCAAAACCAGTCACTTAATTGATTTGAATCATTTGAGTCATTCATAAAGACAGTCAGATGCTTTGTTTCTAAACGAATCAGCTGTTTTGAATGAATCATTTGAGTTTTTGATTCACTGACCCATTCATAACAGTTGCTCTGTGGCCCATTCACAGTCAGTTGCTTTGTTTCTAAATGAATCAACTGTTTTAAATGAATCATTTGAGTTTATGATTCAGTGATCCATTCATAAAGACAGTCAGTTGCTTTGTTTCTAAATGAATCAGCTGTTTTAAATAAATCATTTGAGTATATGATTCAGTGATCCATTCATAAAAACAGTCAGTTGCTTTGTTTGTAAACGAATCAGCTGTTTTGAATGAATCATTTGAGTTTTTGATTCACTGACCCATTCATAACAGTTGCTCTGTGGCCCATTCACAGTCAGTTGCTTTGTTTCTAAATGAATCAGCTGTTTTAAATGAATCATTTAAGTTTATGATTCAGTGATCCATTCATAAAGACAGTCAGTTGTTTTGTTTCAAAATGAATCAGTAGTTTTGAATGAATTGTTTTAATGAATGATTCAATGATCCATTCATAACGATAGTCAATTGCTTAATTTCTAAATGCAGCTGTGAAATAACTGAAATCAGTCAGCGTAGTGATATGTAGCTGTAATTAGCTCAAAACCTCCAGGAACTACTTTATCTGTGCATTTATCTGAAAACAACAGCGGGCCCCAGAATGCTCATCAGCCAATCAGAATCAAGCATTCAGAATCTATTTTTCACTCATCTGTAGTCATGAGCGTGTGTGTACCTCTCTGTCATGGTGGACTGTGTCTTTCTCAGGGTTTGTAGGCTCCGTCTGCAGGGCTCCGCTGGCGCTCTTGTTGCGCGTGTGTCCGAAGGGTCGAGACGAGGCCCGACTGGAGCCTGGCGACAGCAGCTGCGGGTGGAGCTGGCGGTTCGGAGACGAGGGTGTAGAGGTCAACACCAGGGTCTTTAGAGCGCTGACCTCTGCCTGCAGGACGTCGATCTAACACAGACAGAAAGGTTCAGATTTTAGAGATGTACTACCCAGAATAGCAAGGTCCACTAAAGGAGGTCTAGCGTTTTCATAAATGGCTCATAAACTCTGGATTAGCCATCCTGATAATGTCTCTCTTAGTTCAAAACTAGATTGAAAACATCTATTTAATAAACTAAAAACTTTAGTTAACAATTTTTATACACTCACTGGCCACTTTATTAGGTGTTTAACTGCCCGGTAACACAATTTTTTAATTAGCATATACTATGGCAGCAACTCAATGCATTTAGGCATGTAGGCATGGTCAAGACGATCTGCTGCAGTTCAAACCGAGCATCAGAATGGGGAAGAAAGGGGATTTAAGTGACTTTGAACGTGGCATGGTTGTTGGCGTTAGACAGGCTGGTCTGAGTATTTCAGAAACTGCTGATCTACTGGGATTTTCATGCACAACCATATCTAGGGTCCGAAAAAGAGAAAATATCCAGTGAGTGGCAGTTCTGTGCGCAAATGCCTTGTTGATGCCAGAAGTAAGAGGAGAATGGCCAGACTGGCTCCTGCTGATAGAAAGGCAACAGTAACTCAAATAAGCACTCGTTACAACAGAGGTCTGCAGAAGAGCATCTCTGAACACACAACACGTCCAGCCTTGAAGCATTTGGGCTACAGCAGCAGAAGACCACACCGGGTGCCGCTCCTGTCAGCTTAGAACAGGAAACTGAGGCTACAATTCACACAGACTCACCAAAACTGGACACTAGAAGATTGAAGAAACGTCGCCTGCTCTCAAGAGTCTCGAATTCTTGTTTCTGCTGCGACTCAATCCAAAAGTAGCAGCAGAAACCTGGGCCCGGTTTTTCAAAAGGTTTAATCCGGATTAAATTGATCCGGATTTAGTAATCCTGTTTTTGCGATCTGTGATCACGTAATCCAGCTTACCTTTTGAGCCAGTTTTTCAAAGCAACATCGGATTGGATCAATCTGATCTGGATAGGAACTTTTCAGGATCACTAAATCTGGATAACCAGTGCTCAAACAGCATAGGACATCACAATGTAGAACTATAGATATGTAAAGAGTAGAATAGCATGGGGTCAATATAACTTTATTTTTATTTGAAATGAAAACTAAGAAAATGTAATAGTTATTAAAATAATAATAATAATAAATAGTAATAAAAACAAGAAAAACAACACCCCATCCTCTTTCAGCAGTCCGCTCATCTGAGACCTACAACACTGTACATTGAGGATTTTTAGAATAAGTTTAAAATATAGATGTAAATAAAAAAAAGTCTTAATGTCAAAAACTCCACAATAAGTTCAGACTTCCTCATCTGATGTGGAGAGAGCAGCTTGTCTGAGCGTAGCCTTTAGGAGGCGAATCTCAAGTCATTGGCCTTGGTTTGCTGCAGTTTGGTCAGAGTCAGTTGTTTCTCTGCCAGATGAAGCTGTGCTTCTGCCCTTTCAGACTCTTTTTGCAATTGTTGAAAGAGATTTCAAAAATCATTGATTGCTATTCTTTGCATTTTTTTTTATTCTGTAATCATTGCATGCATCACTAATAAATATTCTAAAAAGAAAAACATTTTCCATTGTGATGAATATATATATCAAATAGTGAAAGAATAAAATTGATTGTTTTTGGTCAGTTTTGACAGCTGTTTGGGGGATTATTTTATGAGGCCAAACTCTTTCTACTTTGCTGTAGGCCTATACTGAAAGGCTGAATACGTTAAAGCCAATAATCACTATAGCCTGACAGATGAACAAATAAAATTAAAACCTTATGAATAAATAGTATATCTCGTAAGATACTGTATGATCCAAAAATAATATTATTTAATCATTTTTGTAAGTTTTCATTACATTTTGGGCATGAAATCCATGCTAAATCCACCCTTCTGATAGGATCAGTTTAATCCAGGTTTTTTGGCTCAAAGTGATCCAGATCCTACAAAAAAGGTCTGAAAAACCCAAACTAAAGGTTTGATCCGGATCAAAACCAAAATTGGATTACGTGATCTAATCCCATTAGGTAATTCGTTTTTTCTTTTGAAAAACCCATTTTCAAGATTTGATCTAATCCCTTATCCAAAATCCTAGTGGATTACTTTTAAAAAACTGGGCCCTGAGTATTGTATCTGACCATGTCCATCCCTTTATGACCACAGTGTCTTCATCTTCTGATGGCTACTTCTAGCAGGGAAACACACCGTGTCATAAAGCGTGAATCATCTCAGACGGGAGATTGACATCATGGATGTGCAGCCGACAAATCTGCAGCAACTGTGTGATGCTATCATGTCAATATGAGGCAAAATCTCTGAGGAATATTTCCAGTAGCTTGTTGAATCTACACCACGAAGGATTAAGGCAGATCTGAAGGTAAAAGGGGGTCCAACCCTGTACTAGTAAGGTGTACCTAATAAAGTGGCCAGTGAGTGTATATAATAACTTTAACTGATAAAGTTATTAGTAATTAGTTAAAGTAACTAATAACCTGAACTCTTCTGATTTTGATTGTAATGTACTAATGCGCACCTATTGTAAAGCTGCTTTGAAACAATAATAATAGTGAAAAGTGCTATAGAAATAAACTTTAATTGAATTAAGACGTTCAGAGAGAGAAGCACCTTTCCCTGCGCCTCCTTCAGCTGTTTCTCAGCCGCCGCCTGCTTCACGTTGGCTTCTCGAACCATCTTATGAGCCTCCTAGAAAAGAGAGATGAACATACACACAGGTTTGTGACATTATTAAAGGTCGGTTATTTAGATGTTAATATCAGCGTGTTCAACAGAGGAAAGAAACTCAGTTTTGGAAGGATGAGTAAAGCAGTAAATTTGGAGGATGAATAAATAATGACAATTTTCATTTTTGGGTGAACTGTCCCTTTAATTACTTTTTTTGGGAAGTGACCTTGATATGACGTTGTTCTCTCTTCTGCCTGCCGTTTTCTGTTTCTTTCTTTTTGTTTTTGTTTTGCTTATCTTATATTATCTGAGCAAATATGAATGCAGAAAATGAAGTTGAGGTGCTCTCCCATTCACTACTCTCTGTTCAGCGTCAATCTACTGTCAGTGATGATGTCATGTTAGCCCCGCCCACCTCAAACAGACTGGCAGTCAGCTCCTCCAGCTCCTGCTCCAGTTGATTCCTGACATGAGACAGTCTTTCACACTCCTCGTCCTTCAGCTTCAGCTCCTGCAAACACAGAATACAGGGTGTAAAATTAAACCTTGGCGCTTTTCTGAACTGCATTCTGCATGGCAGAAATGAAGACAGGGCGGGGCATACAGAAAAGCCCCTCCCCCTTTTAAACATATGCAATATTTTCAGTACATTATTAAAGATCCTAATTATTTTAGATTGTTGATAAATGATTGCAGGTCATTATTTCCATTCTTTCTCCTTCGGCTTGTTTCCTTATTTATCGGGGTCGCCACAGTGGAATGAACCGCCAACTTATCCAGCATATGTTTTACACAGCGCATGCCCTTCCAGTCACAACCCAGTAATGGAAAACACCCATACACACTCATTCACACACACTAGGGCCAATTTAGTTTATTCAGTTGAACTATAGCGCATGTGTTTGGACTAAGGGGGATCCGGAGATCCACACAGAAACGCCAGCCGGCCCAGACGGGACTCAAACCAGGCTAACTACTGAGCCACCGTGCCGCCCTGATTATTATTTTTATTATTATGCTTTAAATATTAGTTATATTTTAAAATACATAGCCTATATCCTTATCCAATAGTGTTTGGTTTATATTAAGTATGGTTTGATAAAGCCCCGCCCCTTTTTCTAATATATTCAAAACACTATGATTCAGATATACACCCACTAAATGCTGTAGGTGTGTCCCAAATGGCATACTTATGCACTATTTTACACTATTTTGTAGTTGAAATAGTGTAAGTAGTGCATTAACACTGAAGTATTCTAAAAAGAGGGGCGGCACGGTGACTCAGTGGTTAGCACTGTCGCCTCACAGTCAAGAACCAGTTCGAGTTCCGACTGGGTCAGTTGGCATTTCTGTGTGGAGTTTGCATGTTCCCCTCGTGTTGGTGTGGGTTTCCTCTGGGTGCTCCGGTTTCCCCCACAGTCCAAACACATGCGCTATAGGGGAATTGAATAAACTAAATTGGCCGTAGTGTATGAGTGTGAATGTGTGAGTGTCTGGGTATTTCCCAGTACTGGGTTGCAGCTGGAAGGACATCCGCTATGTAACACATATGCTGGAATAGTTGGTGGTTCATTCCGCTGTGGAAACCTCTGATGAATAAAGGGATGACTAAACCAATAGTAAACAAGGCAAGCATAATGCAGACAGCTGATTGGTCACGTGGCTGTAATGTTTGTTACTCCAGAGTTTATTCGAGGAAATACGTTTCTATCTCCCATTATTCGCGTTAACACTTTCTCACAAGTCCAAAACTACTTCAAGTGAGCGTCAAAACACTTTTTAAACTTCATTTATTAATTTTAAAAATTACACCAAAATGATAATAATAAAAATAAAGTAATAATAATAATAATAAATATAGCTGCAAGCAGCAATTAAGGGGCCAAGCACTATTGGCCATAAGGTGGCGCTGCTCCAGACGTTTTTGAGTACTTTCAGGGCATGGGGTTGAAGATGCATACCATGTTTTGTAATGATATGTGAATGTGTTGGTAAAATATAGCATTTTTGGCCAAAAATCGAAATGGGCGACACCCAAAATGGCTGACCTGTGAAAATCAGACATCATTCGACTCGGCATGCTCTGCCGGATGTAATGAGACCAGTTTCATGAGTTTCGGACGAAAGGTTGAGACGTTATAAGCCAAAAAGCAAGTTTTTAGTATCTCCGGACCACTAAGGGGCAGTGCGCCGAAACTCCGCAATTAACCTTAGACCCTAGTTGTCATAACACACACCAAGTTTGGTGTGAATCGGTGAATGCGTTACAGAGATATCGCCTCAAGTCCATTTTCGCAAGCTCTTTGTTAAATTAGTTCGCAAGTTAAACGAAAACGGTTGGTCTAATCAACTTGAATTCCATAACTTTTGGTTGGCATGGTCTGTAGATCATGTGATTCAATTTTGGTGAAAATCGGAGAAACGGCCTAGGACGAGTTCGATCAAATAGGTTTTTCGAATAATTTTAAATAGCGTGACAAAATTCATGACAGAAAATGACGTCATAGGGTGCGTTTGAATCGGACTGAGCCAAGGAATCAGGGGAAAAAAGAATTTTGATTGTAGCCCATTTGGTTCAAAAGTTATCATGATAAACATACGTGAAAGTTTGGACAAGTGGTGGCGCTAGAGAGTTTGATTTTTAGACTTCATATTTGGCATGATTATTGTTAATACTGTCCTCTATTAATGTGCCAGATGCATACCATGTTTTGTAATAATATGTGAATATGTTGGTAAAATATAGCATTTTTGGCCAAAAATCGAAATGGGCGACGCCCAAAATGGCTGACCTGTGAAAATCAGACATCATTCGACTAGGCATGCTCTGCCGAATGTAATGAGACCAGTTTCATGAGTTTCGGACGAAAGGTTGAGACGTTATAAGCCAAAAAGCAAGTTTTCTGTATCTCCAGACCACTAGGGGGCAGTGCGCCGAAACTCCGCAATTAACCTTAGACCCTAGTTGTCATAACACCCACCAAGTTTGTTGTGAATCGGTAAATGCGTTACAGAGATATCGCCTCAAGTCCATTTTCGCAAGTTCTACGTTAATTTAGTTCGCAAGTTAAACGAAAACGGTTGGTCTAATCAACTTGAATTCCATAACTTTTGGTTGGCATGGTCTGTAGATCATGTGATTCAATTTTGGTGAAAATCGGAGACACGGCCTAGGACGAGTTCGATCAAATAGGTTTTTCGAAAAATTTAAAATAGCGCGAAAAAATTCATGACGGAAAATGACGTCATAGGGTGGGTTTGAATCGGACTGAGCCAAGGAATCAGAGGAAAAAAGAATTTTGATTGTAGCCCTTTCGGTTCAAAAGTTATGATGATAAACATACGTGAAAGTTTGGACAAGTGGTGGCGCTAGAGAGTTTGATTTTGAGACTTCATAATTGGCCTGATTAATGTTAATACTGGCCTCTATCATTGTGCCAAATTATACAACTTTCCCGCATACGCCTATATGGGCTGCCATTCAAATCCGGCGGAAGAAACGGAAGAAGAAGAAGAAGAAGAAGAAGAAGAAATATAGCTGCAAGCAGCAATTAAGGGGCCAAGCACTATTGGCCATAAGGTGGCGCTGCTCCAGACGTTTTTGAGTACTTTCAGGGCATGGGGTTGAAGATGCATACCATGTTTTGTAATGATATGTGAATGTGTTGGTAAAATATAGCATTTTTGGCCAAAAATCGAAATGGGCGACGCCCAAAATGGCTGACCTGTGAAAATCAGACATCATTCGACTCGGCATGCTCTGCCGAATGTAATGAGACCAGTTTCATGAGTTTCGGACGAAAGGTTGAGACGTTATAAGCCAAAAAGCAAGTTTTTAGTATCTCCGGACCACTAGGGGGCAGTGCGCCGAAACTCCGCAATTAACCTTAGACCCTAGTTGTCATAACACACACCAAGTTTGGTGTGAATCGGTGAATGCGTTACAGAGATATCGCCTCAAGTCCATTTTCGCAAGTTCTACGTTAAATTAGTTCGCAAGTTAAACAAAAACGGTTGGTCTAATCAACTTGAATTCCATAACTTTTGGTTGGCATGGTCTGTAGATCATTTGATTAAATTTTGGTGAAAATCGGAGACACGGCCTAGGACGAGTTCGATCAAATAGGTTTTGCGAAAAATTTAAAATAGCGCGAAAAAAGTCATGACGGAAAATGACGTCATAGGGTGCGTTTGAATTGGACTGAGCCAAGAAATCAGAGGAAAAAAGAATTTTGATTGTAGCCCATTCGGTTCAAAAGTAATGATGATAAACATACGTGAAAGTTTGGACAAGTGGTGGCGCTAGAGAGTTTGATTTTGAGACTTCATAATTGGCCTGATTAATGTTAATACTGGCCTCTATCATTGTGCCAAATTATACAACTTTCCCGCATACGCCTATATGGGCTGCCATTCAAATCCGGCGGAAGAAACGGAAGAAGAAGAAGAAGAAGAAGAAGAATAATAATAATAATAATAATAATAAGAACACTAACGAAAGCAATAGGTGCCTACGCACCTACGGTGCTTGGCCCCTAATAATAATAAATATAGCTGCAAGCAGCAATTAAGGGGCCAAGCACTTTTGACCAAAAGGTGGCACTGCTCCAGAAGTTTTTAAGGACTTTCAGGGCATGGGGTTGAAGATGCATACCATGTTTTGTAATGATATGTGAATGTGTTGGTAAAATATAGCATTTTACACCAAAAATCGAAATGGTCGATGCCCAAAATGGCTGACCTGTAAAAATCAGACATCACTCGGCTCGACATGCTCTGCCGGATGTAATGAGAGCAGTTTTATGAGTTTCAGACGAAAGGTTGAGGCGTTATAAACCAAAAAAGCAAGTTTTTTGTATCTCCGGACCACTAGGGGGCAGTGTGCCGAAACTCCGCAAATAGCCTCAAAACCTAGTTGTCATAACACACACCAAGTTTGGTGTGAATCGGTGAATGCGTTACGGAGATATCGTCTCAAGTCCAGCTTTGCAAGTTCTACGTTAAATTTGATCGCAAGTTTAACGAAAACGGTTGGTCAAATCAACTTGAATTCCATAACTTTTGGTTGGCATGGTCTGTAGATCATGTGATTAAATTTTGGTGAAAATCGGAGACACGGCCTAGGACAAGTTCGATCAAATAGGTTTTTCGAAAAATTTTAAATAGCGCGAAAAAATTCATGACGGAAAATGACGACATAGGGTGCGTTTGAATCGGACTGAGACAAGGAATCAGGGGAAAAAAGAATTTTGATTGTAGCCCATTTGGTTCAAAATTTATCATGATAAACATACATGAACGTTTGTACAAGTGGTGGCGCTAGAGAGTTTGATTTTGAGACTTCATATTTGGTTTGATTATTGTTAATACTGTCCTCTATCATTGTGCCAGATGCTTACCATGTTTTGTAATGATATGTGACTATGTTGGTAAAATATAGCATTTTTGGGCAAAAATCGAAATGGGCGACGCCCAAAATGGCTGACCTGTGAAAATCAGACATCATTTGACTCGGCATGCTCTGCCGGATGTAATGAGACCAGTTTCATGAGTTTCGGACGAAAGGTTGAGACGTTATAAGCCAAAAAGCAAGTTTTAAGTATCTCCGGACCACTAGGGGGCAGTGCGCCGAAACTCTGCATTTAACCTTAGACCCTAGTTGTCATAACACACACCAAGTTTGGTGTGAATCGGTGAATGCGTTACAGAGATATCGCCTCGAGTCCATTTTCACAAGTTCTACGTTAAATTAGTTCGTAAATTAAACGAAAACAGTTGGTCTAATCAACTTGAATTC